CATATATATGTGTATATATATGTATATATATACATACATATATATATATACATATATATATATATATATATATATATATATATGTGTATATATTCATGTGTGTGTGTGTGTGTGTGTGTGTGTGTGTGTGTGTGTGTGTGTGTGTGTGTGTGTGTGTGTGTGTGTGTGTGTGTGTGGGTGGGTGTGTACATAGACATACTTCATGTGTATATATATTCATGTATATAGATATAGATATATATACATAAATACATTCTATTATCCTTATTGTTATTGACATCATTATTATTATCAATATTATTATTGTTCTTGTTGCTGTTATTATCATTATCATTATTATCATTATTATGATTATTATCATTATCATCATTATCACATTCATTATTGTCATCATCATGTTCATAGCTGTTGTGTTACTAGCATCACCATCACTATTTCACATCATATCTATTATCATCATTGTCATAAAATCAATAATAAGGAGTCATGGTTGAAATATTAATAGTGCTTCTGTGACAATGCTAGCGATAACTATAACCATGATAACGTTAATAAAGTCAAGAAAAAGAAAGGAAAGAAAGAGCAGAGCGGGTATATACATTATAGTAATTATAATGTTTATGATAGAAATAACCATCGATATTCGTAACACTAGTAAAAATACATTTTCCCGCCAATTCAAGTAAAGGTGAAATCAGGTAAGGCAGAGCCATCTAGTGTAGAGAAATATCATTAAAAAAAAAAGAAAAAAAAAGAGCACAGCATTTTCCCTATGTTTTGTTCATTTTTACCCGGCGCGAATGGGTTAAAGGCTCTGAGGTTCCGAAGTCCGCGCGGGGTTCTGTTTTGTATGGGTGTTCATTTGACGACTTTGATGGACTGCACAGGCTGAGGTATTCTGACCGTGCCTTGACATGACGTTTTGCACATGATGTTCTTCGCCAATATATCTATTAGGATTATAGGTTTTCGATAAGTAAAAAAAAAGTCCACTACAACCATTTAAGGTTAATAACATTGAAAAATATGATCGACGTTAGCAAACACTTATTCACTCTCAGGATATTTTGTAGACAATTGTTTACAAGTTACAGGACTGGATAACCATTCAATTAATGTTATATATATATATATATATATATATATATATATATATATATATATATATATATATATATATATATATAGTTGCTGTGTTTATATCGAATTATATTCCTTAGATTCTGTCAACCTCCTATAAGTGTTACCAGTTCAGAGAACATTTGCGAAGGATTATGTTATGCTGTTGACTCAAACAATTTACTGATTTCTGTACATAACTTACTACCCTTATGCAAAGTGAGCAATTTCTCACACACCCACTGATAAATTATAATCTTATTTCCCGTGTGTGACAGTATGATATAAAGACTATCAGCTTATTTTAGGAGAAATGAAATATATGGGATTGAAAATTTCTTGTTTATTACGACATACTACATTTATGTTGCTAAAATCTAAGATCTTCTTATACAAAATATGAAAAGGAAGGTCTCAGAAAAGTGGTAGGGAGTGGTAGAGGAGGATAACACGTACACACACACACACACACACACACACACACACACACACACACACACACACACACACACACACACACACACACACACACATACACACACACACAAGCCTTAGGAACTATGGGTTGTGGGCGCTACAGGATCCTCTTTGAAGCGAAACTTTGCTACAGGTGCGCAATCCTCTTCACTACGTATATCTGTGACAACCAGATAATTTAGTGGCTCCGTTGCGGTTCCCGTGGCTTCTGTGTGAGGTGGTTTCCAAGGAGGAACAAGGCTATATGAAAGGGGGGCGTGGGTCGTGGGAAGAGTTGGGCAGACTTTGAGCTGGTGGGTACACTTTATTCTATCACTGGATAAGACACTTGCATAAAAGGAGGAAAGAAACAAAAAAATGGGAAACTCAGTTACAAACACACCGACACTTGTGACGCTCGCAAATAGAACAGATTGAAATAAATTGGTCTGAGAATGTCCATAGATTTTTTTTTCTTTTTGGGGGTCCATGAAAGCCAAGATTCAAAACTGTTACATAGTTAAGCTAGTGTTCGAAACTACCTATTATGTTACATGGGAAAAGAAAACATGATTTATGTTCACTTTGTATGCGCATGTGCGCTTGTAGATGCGGGAACAGTGAAACACCTAGCGTTTGCACGTGTAAGAACATACACTAATATACAATTCGTTAATTAAGGTCATGGCAGCTGAGAAGATCGGGTACTTCATTTTGTATCTCTTCTGTCGTATCTCAGCTAAGTCAAGTAGCCGGTATGTTATGACAACTCGTCTAGCTGCGCTGCCCATAATGGAAGCACAGACTAACTGCATATTAAAGTAAGGGATGAATAGATGCGATTTGTCTCATCTCCACCGTCCGTACTACCGAGAATCGCTGCAACAGTGGCACTGCAATTTCGTATTTTGTGCACAACATCGGT